AACGGATAACGATAATAACGATCACTAATCGGACACCATTTCCGAAATCGTCCCGAGAACGCCGAGGCGGAAGTCCTGTTTCCATCATCATTATGATTCTGTCAACAATGGAGACACACGAGTGCCCGGCCCTTCCCTTCCCTTCCCTACCCCCTCCCTACCCTCCCCTACTCGCCCCCTCAGCCCTTCCCTACCTCCCCTCATCCCTGCTTTCCATACCCCTATCCCTATCCTTTCCCTGCTCTTCCCTACCCCCTCCTGCCCTCTCTGACCACCCCTCTCAGTCCTTCCCTACCCCCCCCATGCTTTCCCATACCCCTATCCCTACCCTTTCCCTGCTCTTCCCTACCCCGTCCCTGCCCTCTCTGACCCACCCCCTCTCAGCCCTTCCCTACCCCCCACCCCTGCTTTCCCATACCCCTATCCCTACCCTTTCCCTTCCTTCCCTACCCCCTCCCTGCCCTCTGCGACCCCCTCCCTGCCCTCCCCTGCCCCGGGCACCGCCATGGGAGGATAAACAAGCCCTCTGCGCGCCCCATGATTTATCGACAGCCGCTCCGCCAGCCCGAAGCCCTGCCACCGCGCCGCCATTGTGGAGGACCCGTAAATGGGCCACAATTTAAATTGGGTTTGATTCATAAAACGCGCGGCAATTTAGCCCGGCGGTCCTCCCGGGGCGCTACACAAGACTCATAAAATATTCATGGATGACGCATATTAGCGACGCCGAGGAGAAAGAGGCGCTGGCAAATTTAAGTCCCATTTGGAGAGAGTGCATTTTTTCTTTTTTCTTTTCACCCCTTCCTCTTTTGAATTCGCGATGGCGGCTGTTGACAGACACCGAGCGTCACACGTTAAAACATTTCCATTTTTATGTCTGTTCATTGTGGCAAGCGCCGCTCCAAAGACGACGGAAAAACATGATTTATTTATGGCATCTGTAACGTGCGTGTTTATGCTTGAGGGATATAATTTAGTGACCCCTCAAAGGCAGCGACGGTTTCCCATTTTGTATTTTTTCTAGTATTGATTCACAGAAAACGGGTGGCGGCTCATTTGCGCTGCGGGGAGGGGGGCATGGTGGGAGGAAGGGGGGGGTAGGGAGCCGATTTTTCAGGTCTGTGTAGCAGCAAGTTAATTTATTAATGCAACGAAGACGCGGAAAACTGCGAAAAGGTGATAAATGCCGAGTAGAAAACGAGAAGAAAAGGAACGGAGACTTTTTTATTTATTCCTTTTTTTTCTTCTTTTTCTTCGTTGCAATGTCATTAACGAGTGAGAACGGGCGTTCCACTGCGGTATAAAAAGTTTGTTCGTTAATTAGTGAAGGTGACGATGAATATTGAGGGGTGGGGAAGGAAGGGGGGGAAGAGGGGGTGGGGGGAGGGAGGGAGGAGGGGGACCCAGTTAGCTTTGTGACCAATCCCTAGAAAGGGGAATTAATGTGCCCCGCTGAGTGAAATACTGGCGTTCATTTGCGAGTGTCACTACTCACCCTCGCCCCCCCCTCCCATTTCCCCTATCCCCCACCTTCCCCAACCCTTATCCACCTCTTCCTTCCCTTACATCCACCCTTTCATCCCCTTCCCCTTACCAACACCTTCACCCTCCCTATTCTCCCCCTTCCCCTTTCTCCCTTCCCTCCCCATATCCCCCTCTCCCATCCCCATGTTTTCTCCCCCCCTTCCCCCCCCTTTCGCCTCCCCATTCCTCCTCCCTCCCCCACCACCACCTTTCTCCCCCCTCTCCCCTCCCCATATCCTCCTCCCTCCCCCACCACCGCCTTTCTCCCCTCCCTTCCCCTTCCCCTTCTCCCTCACCCTGCTTCACCCCTCCCCCCCTCCCCTGTGGCCATTCCCAGCGACCTCTGTGCATGATTTGATGGGGACTGATTATTTCCTGTCCTCGACCAGCGCGGAAGGACTGAAGATAGGTCAGTCTGCGCCCCCCCCCCCTTTTACTTCGACTCGTGCGAATTGGGTGTGAATTGAGAGGTATTTCTGTTTCTCTCTCTCTCTCTTTCTCTCTATATCTATCTCTTTCTCTTTATATCTATCTCTTTTTTCTATTTTTCTTTCCCCCTCTCTTTGGCTATCTCTGTCTGTCTCCCTCCTTCCCTTCCTCTTCCCCCCTCCCTTCCTCTTTTCCTCTTCCTCCTTCTCCCTCTCCCTTCCTCTCTCTCCCCCTCTTCCTCCCTCATTCTTCCTCTCCCTCTCCCTCTCCCACCCTCCCTCCCTCCTTCTCTATTTTTTCTTCTTTCTTTATTATCTCTTATTATTACTTTTTCTGCTTGTCACGTTTGCAATAATAACACTGTGAACAATAGTTGCCACAGCGCCAAACCATCAGCTGCCCCTCCCCCTCTTCTCCCTCTCCTTCCCCCTCCCCCCTCTCCCTTGTCAATATATGGATTCTATCAATCATAAAAAAAAAAAAAACTTTGATGAATCCTTGGACGATATTTTTCTTTCTGGGTGTCCGTCGGAAAGAAGGAATGGAAGGAAAAGAGGAGGATGGAAGAGAGGGGTGGAGGAAAGAAGGAGGAAGAAGAAGAGGGGAAGGAGGATGAGAAAGAGTGAAGAGAAGAGGGAGTAAGTGAAAGTAGGAGGGGAAGTGGGGAATAGGGACCAAAACAGAGGAAGAGGAGGAGGAAAGGGGAAGAATGAAGTGAAGGAGGAGGAGGAGGTAAATAGAAGACGGAAGTGGAGAAGGAGAAAAAGAGAAGGAAGAGAAAATAAAAGAACTGGAAGAGGAGATGATAAAAAAAGGTAAAAAAAAAAAAATAGCGAGAGACAAAGAAATGAAAATGAAATAGGAACAAGACAAGATCAGAAACCGAAAAGGAAGAGGAGGCGGCGGCTAATAAAGAGGAAGAGAGAGAAAGAGAAGGAAATCCCCCGCCGGCCGGATCGGGAAAAGGCGAAAACGGCGAAGCCCGGTTATCGGTGAGGGCGGGCGTGGGGCGGGCGTGGCGGGCCTCGTCCACGCCGCGCCACGCCCACGCCGACGCCGAACCTCTCATTATGAGGGGAAGGATCAACACGGGGAGTTATGGAGCGCGGGGGCAAGGGGAAGAGGGAGGGAGGGGAGGGGGGGGTGCTTGTACGCTCGGAGGTTGGGTGGGTAAGGGAAGGGAGGGAGGGAGGGAAGGAGGGAAGGAAGGGGGAGGTTGGGTGGGTAAGGGAAGGAAGGGAGGGAGGAAGAAAGGGAGGAGGAGGGAAAGGAAGGCAGGAGGGAGGGAGGGAAGAAATGAAGCGAGAAGAGGGAGGAAGAGAGACAGACAAGGAAGGAAGAGGGATAGAGGCGTGAGAGGAGGAAGGGAGGAGGGAGCGAAAGAAGGCAGAAAGATAAAGGAAAATAGAGGGAAGAAACAGTGGAAGGAAGAGAAGGAAGGAGAGGAGGTGGGAGACAGAGTGTGAAAAGAACGGAAATATAGAGAGAGGGAACAAAAAAGTGAGGGGAGAGCGGGGGAGGCCGGGGGTTGGGGGGGTGAGGGCTGGGGGCAATCCGCCTGCCCCATCCCCCTTCCCTTTCCCCCCTTCCCCCCCTTCCCCAAGGCCGTGTCGCAAACCCGGGGACTGACGGAACCTTATTCCCCTCCCCCCCTTTCCCCTACCCCTTTCCCCTCTCACCTCCCCCTCCCCTCCCCTCCCCTCTTGCGCGACTTGCTAATGGGAAGTTTTTCCCCCTTTTGATGCGAATATTCCCCTCTCTCGTCATTGTTACTTCTTGTATGATTCACCCCCCTCCCCCCCCTGCGGCGGTCACTCGGGTGCGAGGCGGCAGTGCCCCCCCCCCCCCCCCCCCCCCCACCTCCTCCGCCGCCAGGACATCCTCAGTTAGTCCTGCAATTGATCGCGAGCGGGGAAGCGCAGGCGAATATCGCCTCTCCGGCCCCAGTCCCGAAGGGCGGGATTCGACCCCCGGGATGGCCCAGGTAGTGGCCATCCTTCCTCGACAGCCACAGCGGAAACACGCCCCCGCTGCTGCCCCCCCCCCCTCCCCCTCCTCTCCTCCTCCTGCACCCCCTCCTGGGCTTCTCCGGGCCCAAAACCCCCCATTTCTCCCGGGACGAAGCGGCACACGTGTTCAGTTTGTACTTGTGTCAGTCAGCCCTGCCCGGTGTTCAGCTGAGCAGCCCCCCACCCCCACCCCCTCAACCCCCCCCCTCCTCTCCCCCACCCCTTCCTCTCTTTTCCCCTCGTGTGACCTTTACACCGCGGGGTCATATCAAATCCCGGAGTAAGGGAGGTCGTAGGAGTGGCTGAAAGGGGGGGGGTGAGAGGGGAAGAGGGAGAGGGGGGAGGGAAGGGCGGAGTGAGGGGAGAGGGAGGGGCAACGGGAGAGTGGGTTGGGGTGGGCGGTGGGTGGAACGAGGGGGGGAGGGAGGGAGGGGGGAAGGAGGGTGGGGGGAGGAGAGAGGGGGGGGAGTGGGCCCGAGTGCTGGAGTTCCCTCGGCACACAGTGGGTCGTGGTAAGAGTGGGTAAAGGGCGACGGTGCGCGACGCCCACCTCTGCCGCCCGCATGAAGGAGTGGGTCATACATCGCCTGGGAGGTACGGATCGTAGGCGTCGCGTCGATAAGAGATAAGAAAAAAAAAGATAAGAGATTAAAAAAAGAGAAAAAGTAGAAAAAAGAGTAGAAATAACCAAAAAAAAAAGACATTTAATAACAAAACCACTTGACGAGTGTGGAAATCAGCGTGTCTGGTGTTGTGTGTTCGCTCGACGACTTGCATGACTGGAGGATCTCGTCGAGAAATTGCTTTTGTTTTTGGGCGAATTGATGAGAAAACCGAAGTGCAGGAAAACCGGGTCGTTCTATTGCTTGCATGCTTTAATTCTTTCCAGTGTTGATGTTTAATGCCTCTGTACATGTACGTTTATGTACGTGTAAGTGTGTGTGTCTGTCTGTATAGTCTCCAGCGCCGTTAATCTTAGTGATAAGCCAAGGAGTCCCGCTGAAGGATGATCCGCTGACCCGTTCCTCTGTCCCGCAGCCGTGACGCCGGGCCTCGCGGGGCTCTCGCTGGGCTCCGGCGGGTCGGCGCCCTCGTCGCTCGTGGCCGGCGGCATGGGCGTGCGCGACCCCCTCAAGCCGCAGCTCGACTACTCCCGCTACGTGAAGCCCTACAGCTCGGCCCTGGAGTGCGGCACCCTCTCCTGCAGGGAACACAACCTCAGGTAAGTCCCTCGTCTCCCTGCCGCTCGCGCCTTCGGGCCGCGGCGGGGCCCTCGGGGTGAGTGTGCGGCGGAAGTGCGCCGAAGCCCGCCAAGTGGCGATTGAGCTCGATGTGGGTGATGATAAGGCAGAGTGATTGACAGATGCCACGCCCAGATTTCATTATTGAGTGAAAACATTGATTTCTTTGATTTCTCTCTATATTCATTTTGATCATATGTATGTTAATGACGATTATTCCCAATGCCTAATAACCGTAAAGTCGAATCATAACAAAAACTCCCGAACACCGGAGACATAGGAAGGGCCACACGCTCCCAGGAGCCCCGAAGCCCCCAAGTCCAACCCCCTCCCCCTCTCACCGCCCCCCCTTCTCCCCCTTCTACAGAGAACACTTCCACTGCCTGGAGTGCGACTCGAAGGTGTTCAGCAAGAAGGAGGAGATGATCAGGCACTTCAAGTGGCACAAGAAACGCGACGAGAGCCTCCAGCATGGCTTCATGAGGTACTCTCCCTCCGACGACTGCTCAGACCGCTTCTCCAACTGCTCCCACAACCGCAAGCAGACACATTACCACTGTCTCAAGGAGGGTGCGGTCAAGGGGGACCTCTGCTGACTCATAAGCAGGAAGTCTGGTTTATAATGATAACAGAATTCATCAGGAAAGTAGGTGTAAATGGATGTGGATAGATAAGGACTATAGGGTATAGGCTTGATGATACATGAATGAGTTGGAAAGTTGGATCGAAACAAATGTAAATGAATAATTAGGTTTGTTAGGACCACTTAAAATATTTATGAATTGAAACAAAAGGAAGTTTCGTCAGCACCTCTCTCTTTTTTTGTCTTTCTCTTTCACTCTATCTCTGCTCTCTCTCTCTCTCTCTCTCTCTCTCCTCTCTCTCTCTCTCTTCTCTCTCTCTCTCTCTCTCTCTCTCAACTCTCCTCCCTCCATCACTATATTTCTCTCCCTTCCTCTCCATGAATAAGCGAGAGTTAGATCATGTTAGGCCCGCTTGTCGAGAACCCCATCTTTACATCCGCCCTCCCCTTCCTCCCCCCTTCCCCCCACCCGAACGCAGGAGGATGTGACAAGGTGTACATCAGCACCTCAGACGTCCAGATGCACGCGAACTACCACCGGAAGGACTCGGCGATCATGCAGGAGGGCTTCCAGAGATTCCGGGCCTCGGAGGACTGCAACCAGCCCGGGTGCTCCTTCAGCGGCCAGAGGACGACCCACTTCCACTGCATGAGGACCGGGTGCAACTACACGTTCAAGAACAAGGCGGATATGGGTGAGTGTTTTTGAGCGATTGGCTTCTGCAAGATTTTTTTTTTTTTTTTTTTTTTTTTTTTTGATATATTAATAGATTCATTGTCTGTCTTTTTAAAGGATTTGGACTTACTTATATTCAGAATAATATGCTCAATCTCACTATTGATAAACACACAGCAATATTCTCTTAAACAGCACGGAATAATTTGCACAACACTTTCCTCAATTCACTGTCGACAGAGGACACATTTCTCAACCGCAATAAAAGCAACCACTCACCGAATCAACCCCCCCCTTCCCCCCCTCTTACCCTCCCCCCTCTCGCATTCCAGAGAAGCACAAGACGTACCACATCAAGGACGAGCAGCTGACCAAGGACGGCTTCAAGAAGTTCATGAAGCAGGAAGAGTGTCCGTACGAGGGATGCAAGTTTTCCCGCGTCGTCAACCACATCCACTGCATACGGCCGGAGTGCAACTATGTACTCCACTCCTCCGGCCAGATCTTCGCCCACAAGGTGCTCACCAACACTCTCCTCTTACACCTGGTAACAACAACCGAGTAGTTGGTTACACACACGTACACAGACGCTTGTCAGACACTGCTGCGGTTTTGCTTGTTTTTTTTTTTTTTTGCTGATTTTATGTTTTTTTTTTTCCTGTTTTTTCTTCTTTGTTTGTTTATTTTTTATGTTTTCTGTAGTTTATTTGTTTTTTGTTTTTTTTTTTTTTTCTTTGGCTTTTATAATTGCTTTTCGTAGATTTGTTTTTTCTCTTCTTACAAGATGCGAGAACGCGTCAGCTAGACCTACACAAACACAGACGCTTTTGATTTTGGGATATTTTTGTTTTTGCTTATTTGGGTTTAAAGGGAATTCTTGCTTTTGATTTAGATTCTTTTCTAACTCTTTCCCTGCCCCCCCCCCTCCTCTCTTTATCTCTTTCTCTTTCACTCTATCTCTCTCTCTCTCTCTCTCTCTCTCTCTCTCTCTCTCTCTCTCTCTCTCTCTCTCTCTCTCTCTCTCTCTTCCTTCCCTCTCTATATTTCTCTCCCTCTCTCTCTTTCTCTCCCTCTCCCCCTCCCCCTCTCTCCTCTCCCCCTCTCCCTCTCACTGGCTGTCATGGGTCTTAGCGTTTCCTTGCGCTCTTGCCTGGCGGCGTTCCCTCCGTCGTGCGCCGAGGCCTCGCGCCCGGCGTCCCTCTGCTGT